TTCTAGAAGAGAACAAGATCATAAATAAGGAGAAAGAGGGTCTGCTAAGATAACAAGCAGCTACCTCACAAACTTCCACAAGAAGTCTCAGACAAGAAGAGAAGAGAAAATATCACGAAGGTCCGGGCTAGTAACCTACAAAAACGTAGAAGCAAGGGGTGAGTACCAAACCACACGGTACTCTACAAGTAAGCTTCTAAACACAAGCTAAGGGAATAGAATACGGGTACTCCTTACCACCCCAATCAAACCTCCACAACTACAACTTGTATAAAACCAATCCAACCTAACAGTTCACAATTTACATAGCTCACAACTCAACAACACTCTAACAATTACATATCCTCAACAACAAACTCAATATTCATCAATCACAAGTTCCAAAAAAAGGTCACTCACAAGATCAACAACACACAAGGTCAAGTTCACTAATGATAAAAATGTCCAATGCAATGAAATGCAATGTCAAGTATATTATGCATGTCTGACCTAACGATACACACCCGTTGTCCCTCAGTCCTAGACCTATGGAGGACATATTTGTCCATGCATCTGTTGCAGCGTGTGACACATTGCTCTATAATAGAATCCATCACGGCATGCGACATGTCTCTCGATAATAGTATTATTCGTCTCGGCCCGTGACACGTCCCTCAAAATTGTACATCCTCTTTAATTTCTTATTCTTACTCAATTCACTTAACACTTATCACAACCATGTCTCAGAACCAATGCAAATGACATGTTCACATAAATAATGAGGAGATGATCATTTTCATAATAATGCACAATTCACAAAACAACAATCGTGATACAACATCAACAATGAGTCAATAAGTCTTTCAAACCATTCTCAACACATCACACACCAACAATTAATCACATTGCCTTATATTACCCCCTTTTCATCATTAGAATTATTCAATGTGGACAAGTCGACCCATAACCAAGTCCCATTATTCCCCAACACATACAACAAGGAAATACATGATTTTATACACTTAACAAGGGTTTAAAAATCCACTTGCCTCAAACAATTGAGTAATTACTCCGGGACTTGAGTCTTCCTCTTTCGTTGGACTTCCAAATCAATACAATCTATTCAAATAAATAATCAAAATAATATTTCAAAACTAACAACACCCATATTACTATGTGTGTAGTCTAGACCCAAAAGCTCACTCAAATATGTAGTCAAGTTCCTAATCTTGATGTCAATTAACATGTCAACTCTCATATTCTCCAAATTTCAAGCCTAGAGTTAGGACTTAATTCCTTCAAATATCATAAATATAATTGTATTCATATAATACAATACATCTAATATTTAATTACCTATCTTTATATATCAAAACTTAAATCATAATGTGATAACCAAAAATATAAAATTCAATCCCGACTAAGTTTGAACTCAGTAACGCATTGCAAAAACAATTGTGAAAGAACCTAACCTAATTACATTGCTTTAATCACTATATATCCCTCCCACCAATGATTGGCTCTCATGGCCAATCATTAGGCCATCATTACCCATTGAAATTTAATATCCAAACATTATGTCATCACCTACCACGTAATTGACCAAATCAATTCAACCCATCCTAATATCAAATGGTCACTATATTAATTTATGACTCCAAATACTAACATGATGCACAAATTGAGAACCTGCACTTCGAAAGGATAATGATGTTGTGACTCCATTCCAATCAGTTCTTGCATGAAATTGGTGTTATTATTTATAACCTATTAAACCCTTTCTACTTAAATTTAATATATGGGTCAAGTGATATAGGGATTTAAATAATTTACGGACTTAGTTGATTAGTCACAAACTAAATTAATTATCTAAAAATTATCCATTAATTAATTAACTATAGTTAAACGAATAGTTTAAAATTCTCAAATCAACTTCACTGACTGACTATAAATTACTCGGGGAAACTATCGGGAGGGGTAAAATGACAATTTTATAAAAAATTCCAAAAATGACCTTTCAGGTCATTTTACTTTCATTAGACAACAATTATATGATATGTATGCGGCAGAAAAAAGGAGAATACTACAATTTCGCAAAGATAAGGTAGAAACTTAAAGAAATGAAGTATTTTTCACCGTATGTGTTGTTGTTCTTATAATAACATTAAATTATTCTACTATATATATATATATATATATATATATATAAATTAAAGAATTGGTCAAGCTATTTTTCTTTAGAACTAATTTTTGATGTTATATTTTTAATCTCTATAACATTCTACTTATAACAGTGTTGTCATTCACTATAAAAGTACATTTTTTCGTAAAATTATCTATCTATGATACCCTTACTCAAATATTAATTGAGTAAAAATATTTTTTAAGAAATATATATTACGTATAAAGATAAAATATTAAAATATTTATGGTAATCGTTATTAGTATCATGCACACACTAAATTTCAAGCATGAATATTTAACAGAAAAATTGTACTTAAATGGTGTTCACCGTTTATGGTCATAACTTTAAAAGGAAAGGCTACTGGAGAACTTTTTATATTGACACTTTTTTTTCTATTTTGTTGGTTAACTTTGATTACAAAATTGAGTGAAGTAAAAAATAATATTGCTAAAGAAATATCCCTTTCTCCCCATATTTAAACTTTGGATGTAATTTGAAATGTTTCAATGATATTTATTTATTTTGATCTCTAAAGACAAGTAACTCTTTGACAATCTGTATTAATAATTTAAAAGCACTTTTTCTATGCTCTTTCAGTTATAATCATTTACTAAAAAGATTTAATTTAGTAATATTCATTTTACAACATCATGTACTATATGATACGATCCACACGTGCAATGCACATGCCGTGAAACAATGTATGTGTATATATATAAATATATATTCAAGTAACTGAATTGTTGGAAAATTATTCGAACAAGTTTATCCATCGCTAACATTATAATGTTACATTAAAACATGGAAATCGTTCTCTTCTTTTCTTCCTAATCTATCTATACTATCTTAAAAGCACGAACTTCCTAACTTTAATGTTAAATTACTATAATACCCCCAACTTAAGACACCCAACTCATTATATATTCTATATTTAATGTTATATTTATATACACTATATTATATTAAATGCAAACACATTTTCACATTGATGGGTAATGACTTTTCCGAAAGGTTGTGTCTTTTTTTTTATAGAGTTGTGACTTTTTCGATGAGTTATGACATTTCTGAAAAGTTGTGATTTTTCTGAAGGATTGTGACTTATCTGAAAAGACATGATAAGCACCTTTTTCATACTATCCTTTGTTGTCTATAAATAGAGAAGGTTTCTCACACTTTTAAACTACGAATTTTGTAAGTTTTCTATTCTTCTACTTAAAACAAGAAAGATTGTGAGAGTTGTTCGATTATGCAATGACAATATATATTTTTGTGGGTAAATTAGATAGATCAACAAAAATTGATGAAAAAAGGAGAATGAAATAACTCAACTTCAAACGAGAAGAGTATCATGATAATTAATATACACACTCATTTTCATAGCCATAAAATATACTTTTGCAGCAACTCTTCCTTGACAAGAAGTTCAATGCTTGTTCGTTGCACAAACTATAACTTGGTGTTCAGAATCTGAAAAGTCTCGAACTGTTGGAGAAAGAGTATTTGATCAATAACTTTTTTGAAGAATCCAAAATACATTTAATAAGTACTCTTTCATTTTCAATTTATTTGTTGTACTTTTATTTTTATTCAGTTTTATATAGAATGTTCTTTTTTCCTTGGGGGTGAGGACACGTCTTTAAGACTACAAAGTTAAAAGACATTTTTATATATTCTACATATGATCCTTAAATTAAAAGTCTTCTTTATTTTTAAAATTTTCATATAAAATTAAAATTAGACCTATTTATATCTATCTTTTTTATTTTATCTATACTACCTTAAAAGAATGAATTAATAACTTAAATGTTAAATTATTAGAATACCCCCAACTTAAAACACCAAGTGAAGTATATCTTCTATATTTTATATTGTATTATATTTATTTATGTATATTATATTATATTAAAGGCATACAACTTTTCACATTGAAGGGTTGTGACATTTTCGAAGAGTTATAACTTTTCTGATGAGTTGTGACATTTGTGAAGGGTTGTGACTTTTCTATAGGGTTGCGACTTTTCCGAAGAGTTGTGACATTTTCGAAGGATTGCGACTTTTACAAAGAGTTATGACTTTTCCGATGAGTTCTGACCTTTCTGAAGGGTTGTGACTTCTTTTTTATAATGCACCACGAGCAATTTTTCATACACTACCCTTTGTTAGCTGTAAAAAGAGGGCCTTCATCAAATTTTAAACTACATTTAAAAAAATTATTATTATTATTATTCTTAAAACACACAATTTAGTATATCTTCTATATTTTTATGATAAGAAACAATATGCACATACTAATACTACACATTTTAAACTATAAATGGAGGGATTTCCTCACATTTTTAAACTACAGTTTTTTATGTTTTCTATTCTTCTCTTCTTAAAACCTCATGTTTGATTTACAAATGTTGACAATCTCAAAGTTCAGTGAAATTAGAACACTCCATAACATGAATGTTAAATTAATCTAATACTCCAACTAAAACATCTAATTTAGTATATCTTCTATATTTGATATCAATATTAATTTATATTATATTATATTATATTAAAAGTAAGAACATCTACAAAACAATAATAAAAAAGTAATGCACTATGAGGAAGGGAATAGAAAGTTTATTTAAGAGGTGTAACTATGAGATTTAAAGAATGACTAATTTTTTATTTAGCAATATTCATATTATTTTTAAAAATAGTGTGGTACATGGTTTGATTTTTAAAAACGTAGAACTTCACTTCATAAGCCAATGTGCAAAATGTGCCCCACACATGTGATTCAATATGCGCCAAAGACTCGTCTAATGGCTTGACAGGTAAAGTGAGATTCCATGTGCAATCTGGATTTTAGACAAAATGATTGTACCATTAACTGTATGAACAGCATATATCTTTTGGCAATTCTAGTCATTAGCTTATCATCCCTTCTTTTTTTCTGGGAAGAAGTTAGGGATTATATATTACAATATCACTGCACAATAATGATCCGTAAACTATCATAATTGGACATCCCGAAAGAGCAAGAAGGAAAGGAAGCACACACTCTCACCTCTTACGTTGGTTATATCAAAGAAATAATTACAAATTTACAAGTAGAAAACTAAGCTTTTCTCTTTCGCAGTCTTCCCATATCAAAATCCATAAGCCTTGATGAGGACGCCATGGGAGAAGTTACTGACAGACCAATGGATTCGGGAATGTCCAGATCAACTCTCATAGAAGGGCCAGAGATTGCTCGTTTAATGTCAGTCTCACTCAACTGATGGGCTTCAGCTTTCACTTTGGCAATCTGCGTCATGTCAGTAAAGTAAATGAGTAGTATTTAAGCTGTCCGCCGGTCACATTCACAACCCTAGTTACTCAATAAGGTAAAAACCGCTAGCATTAAAAGGTGAAAGCTTTACCAGTTCAACATGGTGACTGGACAAACATGCGCTAGAAATCCTTTTTTGTAGATCCTCTACTTTCTTTGTTTGGTAATCAAGATTCTCCATTTCACTCCCTTTCTCACCCAGTTGCTGGTACATAGCTGCACAAGAAAAAAAGTAAAAATCGACCAACAAAAATTAGTTCAACGGACCAAGAGAAGGAATTTAAGATAAACTCGTCTTAAATCCAAATCAGGCCTTGCAAGAAGCTTGTGCTAGCAAATTACACTCTCTGTTGCCACATCTTAACAACATCGTCTTACCCTCAACAAGAGGACTGATGTACCACCACACAATTATATTAGTCAGTGGCGAAACTAGAAATTTTATTAAGGGTGTCCAAGTATTACATAAGCATAAATAAAATAAAATTGATGAATGAAAGCACTGAAAAATTTAAAATTGAACTACGTAATATTAATATTCCTATTTTAAAAATCAAACCACATAAGATTTAGCTTTAATATTTGTATTTAATTTATTATGAAATGAACAAACAAACCAAAAAAAGGGGGGAGGGGGGAGGGGGGATTCAACTTAAAATGAAATCATTTTTACGTTTTAAGTTTTCACTGATCTCTGGTGACGACGACAATAACGAGACATGAATAATGAAAGCAAAATCAAATGTTGTCTTCTTTTGTTCGCTTTTAGCAGCGTTACTGAAATATTTTAGCAGAATCAAACTCATGGAAAATTCAATTAGCTACTAAGTTCTCGTTTTTATTAGATTTTTAAACTGTAGATTTCTAACTAAGAATTATTTTCATGTATAACATTTGAATTGATTCAAAAATAACAAATTTATGTACTATTATTTAGAAAGTAATTTAATTCAAGTTATTTAACTTAGAGTAATAATAAAATAGGAGTTCTTTTAAAAATGATTATAAAAGCACAGTATGTGCAAGGATTCGAACCCACGCCAGCATTGTGGGCTTTACTGGAAAGCCTCAAACCACTGGGCCGCGCCACCTTGTTGTGTCAAGGGTGTCCAAAGTATTAAATTTAACCGCTTCAAGTTTCATTTTACTCATATATACGCCATAATTTTTCGGTGAAGGGTCTCCAATTGGACACCCTTAGGACAATGTAGCTCCACCACTGATATTAGTGAATCTCATGCAATATTCTTCTTGCAATATATTTTGCATAAAATGACAGGACTTGCACAATTTCTTTGACTTTGACATGTTCTCTAGTTCCATTAATTAGCACAATATCGTCATCAAATAGCATACACTATGTAACCTCATTTTGTGTAGTTGCTTAGCTCATCCAAATTTGACTAAACAAGTATGGGCTCGACACTAATCATTAGGTAATCCCACAGTTAAGGAAAATTCATTTTCATCTCCTACATTATTCCCACGCTAGTAACTACCACTTCATACATGTCCTTTATGAAATTTACTTAAATATAAATTCCTTTCTTCCCCAACACCCACCAAAGGACGTTTCATAGTACTTGATCATATGCTTTCTCTAGGTTGATCAACATAATGTGTAGTTCTTTCTTTATATCAAGAATATAGTCACTGTTGTAGATCTACCAGGCATATATTCAAACTAGTTCGTCACTCTTGTAGTGTTCCCAAGTCTACATTCCATCACTCTTTCTCAGACCTTCATAATAACTCATAAGTATAATACGACAGTTCGCACAACTTTAAATATCTCCTTTGTTTTTATAAATTGAAATCAGGGTATTCTTTTTCCACTCATTGGTATCCTACCATTTGTTATAACATTAAGGGGTCGTTTGGTTTGGGAACAAGTTATCCAAGGATTAGTTATCTTGGGGTTAGCTATCTTGGAATAACTTATCCCACCATGTATATAGGATAACTTATCCATCACTATGATATAAATGGTGGGATATGTTATCCCAAACATGACAACCACACAAGATGCAAAAATTTTATGCCATCACTATTTGTGTGTATCCCTCACACCAAACGACCCCTAAATAGCTTTGGAGAACCATCCAAGTCAAACCACTACAAGAAAATTTAATACCTCTATGGGGTTATCATCTGTAACACAGGCTTTGTTCTCATATTTTTCATGCTATTCTTTACTTGTGACAACCTTATTCTACAAGTGTTCCTATCTTGCACATCCATATCCAAAAGTTTTTTCTTGTGGTTTGAATTGAACAATTAATCAAAATGCCTCTTCATCACTCTCAGTCATGCTAGTTTAACATTTCTTCCCTTCTGCTTGTGTCCTTGGTTATTGTGAGAAATATAGGAAAAGAATATTATTGAATTGTTGTTGTGTCTACATTATTACATTGAGACCCTATTTATAGACCCTAGAATACAATCCTTTACCAAGAAGGATACTATTTAGTATTCCTATTTCTATTTCTATTCCTATTCCTATTCTAATAGGATTGTATAAACCTATTCCTATTCTAACACTCCCCCTCAAGCTAGCGCATACAATTCATGTAGAGATATCTACAAGTTGATCACTCGACTTTACAAAATTGACAATCAATCTCAATGTGCTTGGTCTTATCATGAATTATTGAATTTGATGCATAATGCTGATAAGTGATAAAACTATAGTGTTGAACTTTCCAAAACAAACTTGCAAAGACTGTTTCAGACCATAGAATGATTCACATAATCGACATACAAGGCTACTAAACTCCCCCTGAGCAACAAAGTGCTCAAAATCTAGTATAAAGTATATGGATCATGTTGGAATCAATAGATGAGTCGATATTAAACAAGTCACCGAAAAATTGGTCGGAACATGCTCATATGCCGGAGTATTAGATTTGATGGCTAAAAGTGGTCACAATCTAAGAAATAAAATAATATGGGTAGGGTCGGAATGATGACACGACTCAACTGGAAAAATAGAAATTATATACGAAAGATTGGATTGACTGCACGATCCTATTGAAAAAGAGAAATAACATGAGTAGGGTTGGAATGATGGCACAACCCTACTGGAAAAAAAGAAATTATATGGGTAGGATTGGAATGATGGCACACAACCCTACGCAAATCAGATTTGAGGAGTCACCGGAAAGACAAATGGAACTACGCAAATCAAAATTGAGGAGTCACCAAAAAGACACATGATGCTATGCAACTCAGATATGAGAAAGTAGTTCGGAAAAATCCACGGTACTACACAAATTAAATATGAAAAGTAGCCCGGAGAGATGCATGGTACTACGCAAACCAAATCTGAAAAAAAGTAGTCACCGGAAAGATCGCACGGTAAGAGCAAATTAAATATGAAAAAGTAGTCACCGAAATGATGGCACAGTGCTACACAAATTAAATATGAAAAAAAAAAGTCACCGAAAAGATACACGGTGATCCAACTTTTGCTAACATAATTGTGGGCCAGACGAGCGGCATATATGAGTAATAGCCGGCAGCGGGAATTGAAATTAAAAAAAAAAAAGGGAAAATATAAATAAAAGATTGTCTACACAAAGTTCAAAAAAATATTTTAAAAAATTAAAATACTGCAAAGTGAAATTTAAAAGAAGAACTGAAAGAAACCTCAAACGAGGCAAGCCAGGGCAAGGAGAAGTCATCGAGAAATGCTAAACAGGGCAAGGAAGGGTTGGTTATGGTTTGTCCTGCCCCTTTGCAGTACCCTTGTGACTTCAAGAAGAAGAAAAAAGGAAGTTATGTACACCAGAAAAGGAAAAAGTAGGAAATGAATGGAAATTCTAGACATGCATATCTCTTTTAGCTAGGGAGAAAAAAAGATGGGCTAAATTTGTTATAAAAGAATTTTCAAAAAGGCTGAATAAACAGGGTGAAGACAAAAAGTTGCATGAAGTGGAAAGCTTGACTTTTAGAAATATAGAACTATCTTCCCTGAACAAATACATGTGCAAACATATATATATTTGATACATATTAAAGGATACCAAGAACTCTGTTGCTTTGGCCATTCAAAAGAATAAACCAGAACAAAGCATGAGATATACGTAGGTGATGGCACATATACAACAGAAGAAGTAGGTCACATGAAATAAATGATCGAGAGTGTGAAACCTGTCAAATTTGATAATACCCAGATCTGAGTTGGAATATCATTAAGCTTCTTAGCTAATGTAAGAGAGGACCTCAAGATCTCCCTAGCTTGTACAGTGTCGCGGAGGGCAAGTCCTAGATTCCCCAATACAGTCAAATATTGTGAAACTAGTTGCAGATTCCCCAAAGTATTATGTGTTGTCTGCAAGCCAAACGCTAGTCGATTTCTGCGGTAAGGTAACAAATCAATAAGAATATAGCAACAGCAACTACTACAACTACAGTGCTACAATACAAAGCTAGTTGGTGTCGTCATACAAACCCACACTACCATCTCTTTATCCAAACACATTTTACTCCAATATAAATCAATTTGTGAATTTTCTAACAGTAAAGGTTTTCTAAATTTGATAGTAACATACAAATCTCTAGAAAAAGTAAAATGGATCCTATAAAAATATTAAGGGGAAGAGAGATTTAGAGAGCTAATGTCTTATCCCTTCCATGAAACTAAACTTGCATTGAACCTTGACACAAATGAGTTACAAGAATCACTTATTTATAGATGTCAAAATACTGAACAGAATATAGAAATATGTGAGCATATTTATTTTTAATTTAGAGAATGGTAAACATTTTTGTATATTAAATATAGATCGACTCCGCTCAAAAGTGTGGAGGTCACCCATAATTACAAAAGAAAGCAGAAAAAGCACTCTTGGTCCTTTGTCTTCTCACAAGGAATCTAATACATTAAAAATTGATTCATGATCTTCTAGGTACATCCCTTTACACCAAAAATAAAAAAAGAGCTAAACACTTCATTTCAACTTCTGTATATTACTAGTTTTTTTCTGCAAAACATATCTGGTTCCTATCCCCATATTATCCACCAAATGCAAGTTGGGACAAGCCTCAATCTCACTTTCTGACGGGATAGGTGGCGTTCACTACTCTAGCAAATTAAAATCTCAAGAATTCCTCTTGGCATAACCCATTGGAGTCTCCTCAGATTAGTGAATATCATCTATCACTGTGAAGTCAACTTGCAGTGTAAAAGAGATGATTTATGGTCTCTGCCTCCCCTCCAAACCTGTAGCATCTAGAACATAGTTGGTCTCCTGTATTGATTAGATTGTTTTGTGTCAGAACTGCCCCTTTTGCCAGCAACCATGTGTAATAAGCGACTTTGTGTGGAATTTTCACCTGCCAGATCGATTTCATGCCACACTCCATTCAAATTGTTAGCATAGTCATATTCCCTGTAAACTGATATAACAGTGAAAGCAATATGGTCTTCACGATTAAATGTCCCTTTGAATTGCTTCAAGGTGCTACATAATTCTGCTAGTCTCCTAACTTCACAGTCAAGCAACATTCTCCTCAAAGTAAGATTCCATTGTTGGTTGATCCATACTTCCTCTACTGTTGCTTCCTGCTGCTGGTTTATGCTGTGAATATCAGGATAGAGCACTTTCAGGTGTCTGTTCGTAGCAAGTTATCCTCCCGGAAGGATACCTTCATGCCACTGCCTATCCTGAAACTGGTTTTTATTGTGAATTTTGGCCATAGTGTGATGACCCGCCACATTATCACACTACCTAACTGCTAATTGGCACATATTTTTCAGTGTATGATACTTTTATAGGAAGGAAACTAGCTCTTGGTGGAATATCTAAAGCTATACAAAGTTCCTTGGGAAAGCGCTAAATATTCACAAAAAAAACCTTCCAGATAACCATTGATCAAAATGGAAAATTTCACATTAGAAATGCAAAATTTAATCCAGTTGACCCGTTTATTACCAAACCCCACATCTCTAAGGACTTTTGACAAACACTACCAATTAACATGATCATAATCCTTTTCAATATCCAACTTACATAGTATCCCTGGTCTCCTTGTTTTTGTTCTGGAGTTAACTAGTTCATTGGCCAGCAAAACTGCATCCAGAATCTGTCTCCCTTTAAGAAAACCCATTTGTGCTCATCCACCAATTTTCCAAGGACTCTCTTCAATCTTTCAGTAATCCGCTTGGAAGTAATCTTGTAGACTCCCCCTATGAGACTGAGGCCTGAAATCCTTCAATTCTTCTGCACCATTCTTTTTGGGAATTAAAGCAATGCAAGTTGCATAGAAAGACTTCTCAAAGAGCTCAGTTTGGTGAAAGTTCTAAATGGTTGCCATTATGTCATCTTTGAAAATTTCCCAACATTCTTTGTAAAAACCCATTGTGAAACCATCCAAGCAAGTGCCTTATCAACAGCACAAACACTGATGACTGTAAAAACTTCAGCCTCTTGAGGAAGGTTTTTGCAGCCATTTTTTCTCCTCTTCATTGATTTTCTGGCCCCTGGATAATTGAAACGCCTCTCATGTTTCTGATTCTGTACATAAGTTTTTGTTGTAGTCCACCATAACTTTTTTTGTCTCTAAATCTTGAACCACTTCGGCTTCATTTATTTTCATTAAAATTTAGACGTCTGAATATAAATGCACATCTAAATAATTACGATGTTGTCTCTAGATCTGATCACTGATTGATTAAAACTGTTTGTTTTTCAACATATGAATGTACATAATCTATTTAAATGTACATAATAACTATACACTTCAAATAAAAATTAACTAAATACTAAAAAAGAATTAATAGAATACAATTATTATTTGATTAAAACAAATGGAACACGTATACTTGCTAGTGGTGATGGCAATAGTTATTGTTAGAGGCTAGTAATGGATGGTGGCAGTTGTGACGGTGGAGGTGGTTGGTGTTGTGGTGATGACCATAATGGTGGTAATTGGTAGTGGTGTTGGTGGTTGTAATGAAAAAGTTGGTTGATGTTAGTAGCAGCAGTGTTGATGGTGGTGGCTGAAGAATGTGAGGTGGTTGGTGATGTGTTTGTGGTAGTTGGCGGCGATACTAGTTATGATGATGGAGGTGACTGGTAGTAGAGATTGACCACAGTAGTGGTGGTGGCTTATAGTAGTGATGGAGGTGGTGGTGGCAACCACAAAGAATGTGTGGTGGTAGTTGACAGCATTGCTAGTTGTGATGGCAGATTTGTTGGTAGTACGAATTGACTATAGTGGTTGATAGTGATGGTGGAGGTGGTGGCGGCTACAGAGACAAAAATGGTGGTGAAATGGATATATTCATTAATGATGGAGGAGGTAAGTGTGGTAGCAACTGACAATAGTAGTTAACAACGGTGGTGATTGTGATGACAGAGGTGGTTGGTGGTAGACGACGGTAATGTTGGTTGACAATGGTGGTGGTGGTGGTAGAGCTGGTTAGTGGTGGTGACCAATGATTATGGATAGAATGATAGTGAATATTATCCACACAATAATACCTTTTAATGATTTTAACACTATGTTCTAGTTCTTAATGATTAAGACCTAGTCAGGCCCATTAAGTGGTTAAATTTTAATGAAAACAAATGCACTTAATGATCTATTGTCTGAACCATTCAGATACAGACCTCCATTAATTGCAAACAAATGAGGCCTTCCTCTCCCACTTTTTAACCTGTCAATTGCATTATATCTCTTATAGGCAGTAGCCATTCACTGAAAAAATCTGGTATTTTTGTATCCTTGCTTAGACCACGATACCCTAGATTTCCGTCTCCAACTCGCTTCTTCATTTTTAGCAAGCACCTCCAGTTCTACAAAATTGTTGCACTGATCAACATGTCATCTTCATTTAAATCTGTCATCTTGAATCTAATCCAAATCAGCTATAAGTCATTCAAAAGACTATTTTTCTTGTTAACCAGAACCCCAAAATTTGATCTACTCCATTCTTTGAGCTTATTATTCAGCAACCTTAACTTCTTGCCTAGCTTAAAGTCGAGACAGCCTTGCACCTCAAACTTGGAGAACCATTTCTGCACCTGTTCTTTAAAACCCTTCACCCCTAACCACCAATTCTCAAGTGTGAAATAAGACCTCTTTTGGATCCAATTCCCACACTCCAAAGGAATTGGAGTATGGTCAGAGTTAGCTCTACGCAACAAATTTTGTCTGATGTCACTAAAAGTTTTTTCCCATTCGCTAGTGTTGCAGCACTGTTATGATAACTCCCCTAAAACCATGTAATCTTTCCCCATTCAGATGAGGGCCAAGAAGTTCATGTCGTCAATCCAGTCAGAATTCTCTCATAATATTTGTTATTCTTGTACTGTTTCTTCTTTCCCCCGTGTATCTGTGTATCTGTTGGTGTTGAAATTAAGGCTGGGCACCGGACCGGGTTGTACCGGTACCATTCCGGTTCGTTCTGGTCCAGAAGTATTCGGGACGGAATGGGACACCGTGAGCCGGTACACGGGACGGAACGGTATCACGATTTGATACCGGTGTACCGGTACCGGTATATCCCGGTTTATTCCGGTTCCGGTCCGGTTCCGATTAATTTTTTTTATATATATATATATATATATTTCCAAGTCCAACGGCTGAAAGTCCTCCTAGGGGTCAGCAAAGGCTGAAAAGCCTGCTGCCCCTGAGGCCCTGCCCCCTGCCGATCAGTCCCATCCCCGGTCCCCACTCCCCACTAACCAATGGCAAGCAGCCATGCACTGTCCAAGCCCCCACTCCCAACGGATTTATTTCCAAATTCCAACGAGCAATGACTATAATTCTATATTTTCCAATTCCAAGTTTCCAACACATAATCACAAATTCTAAAAACTATATATACTCCCTCTTTTTATATTTTTAATTACAGTTTATATATTTACAGTATTTAACAATTAAGAATTAATTTCTCTCAACTCTCAATCTTTCTCAAAGTTTCATACTTTCAATATTCAAGTTTCAAATTACAATCATATTATTTTGTAATTGTGAAGATTTCAACAATCATTTGGTGAATTTTGGAGTAGGAATCTTCTTCAAACTTCAAGTTTCGACATCAATTTTTCAATTTTCAATTATAATCATTTGTTCTTTACACAAGCGTTTGGTAACTTCGTTCCACTCTCTAATCTTATATTTATTTTTTGTATTTATTATTTGTAAGTTCTTGTTAAATTTCGTATTTCATAATTTATAATTTTTTATCATGGAGTCTTCTAAAAAAAGTGGAGGTAAAAAAGGTATTATACACGGAGTAAAAAATATGCTTACAAAAAGTAAGAAGGGTTCTAGTTCTTCTAAATCTAATTTTCCTCTTGTTAGAATGAATACTAATGAATTTACTCATGTGAATGAAACTAGTTTT